CCCCAAAACCCCAAAACCCCAAAACCCCAAAAGGAAGAGGCTATTAGAATATTTTTAATATTACCATTAACTTTAAACTCTAAAGAACCCAAAATTTGAGCTCATCTCTCAAACAATCTCCCATACTCTCTTATACCCCAATCTCTCCTCCTACCCCAATAAATCCATGGATGTCACTCCCTCCCAAATCCCACTTCCACAAATAGAATTTGACATCTATAAAAGGCTGAGCATACAGTTACGTATAATTAATATTTATAACTCTAATGTCAGAAGAACTCGTTGTCTATATGAACATTATTTCTCCTTACTCAAGGCTTGTTATGTGTAAGTCCTTAAGCTAATCCTTGTAGCAATGTTGGCCCTACTAGATATTCCTCATAAAGAGAGGGTCATCGACACTTCTAGAGGAGAGCAAAAGAAGGAATGGTACAAGAAAATCAACCCAAAGATGAAAATCCCTGCTATCAAAGACGGAGACCACATCATGGCTGAGTCAATTGACATTTGCAAGTACCTTATTGAGTCAAGGAAGCTCAAGACCCCCGCTTGGCCTGTCGATGATAGGGACAGGAATGAGCAGATGGAGAAGGACCTTGCTGACTTTGAAGACCTGGGGGAAGCCACAATGGCTGTAGCGTATAAGTGCTTTTACAATAAAGTGTTTGGGAAGAAACTTGCCAGTGCGGAAGAAACTAAGCAGTATAAGGAAGATCTTTATAAGGTATACGACCTTTCGGAGGAAACACTAAGCGAGAGAAGAACATAGTTCTTGAACTCAGATGGTAGGGAGGTTTGCTTAACCTTTTAGAGCACCCAGCTATTCAAGATTATCTATTCTATAATTTGGTGAGAGTCGTTTTTGATATCAATATGGTCGACTTTGAGAAGTATCCTATGATGAAGCAGTGGATGGATGCATGTGCAAAAGTACCCTCTATAGCAGTAATTAACGTTAGATTGGAGAAAGAAAATAAGAGAATCAGATTCTTGATGAAATGGGTTCTGCCTATCGTCAGATGTCTCACCTGCAAATGCTGCTGTTAGACTAAAAGACCAAAAGTTGAAACTTTCATATTAAGATATTCTCAAATTTTTATTTCAAAGCTGTGACGATCAATTAATTGTGTACATCAGTTTCAGTTTTGGTCTACCTTCAAGGGGTTTTGGGGTTTTGGGGTTTTGGGGTTTTGGGGTTTTGGGGTTTTGGGGTTTTGGGG